CAGGGCGGACGGGCCTGTTGGCAGCTCAAGCTGCGGTGGAGGATCGGAGCTCCTGAGCTGGGCGGTGAGAGCTGGCTGCGCTGGGGTCGGGAGGTGTTCAAGACGAGGAGCAGATGTTCTGGCATCGAGGAATGAAGCGGAATATGAAGAGAAGTAAGACCACAATGTCTGAGAACGCTCCTAGGAGGGTTAGGATCAGTGTTAACTACTAGGCTGGGGGTTAGAGAATCAGAACTAACATACAGCTGGTCTGCTTTCCTAGTGTTTTTTCTTGGTGCTCCTATTCAAGAAGAGGATTTTGGGCTGTGATGAGCAATGGAAAGAACATCCCCTGTGCACAGGTACAAAATGAAGGTTCGGGTGCCTTTACCATTGGTGCTCTGTAACCAGAGCAAGCTCTTCTCCAGATCTGTTCCATGCTCCTACGCCTGATCTGTTCCATGCCCCTACGCCAATAAATTAGAATTAATCAATCAAAAATGCAGAAGGTGAGTGCAGGTGGTAAAGACAACCTTTAAGGATTAGTAGAAGGCATATGGTCAGCTTGCAGCAAGAATTTTAAGTGGTGGTGGGATTAAACTACTGAAGTTTTAGCTGAACTGAACCACTCCATCCCCAATCTTGCTTCTTCAAATGCCCTGCTTTCAGCCTCCTCCCCTTCTCGTCTCTCTTAGAGATTCCTGAGATCTCTAAGAGCTTTCTCCATCCTTCCTCTCTTCCCTGAGATCCCTGATGGTTCCCCATTAATGTCAGGATGTTTTTATCCCTTCTTCGTGGATGAATTACGTTCTAGAGGTGGAATTTTTGTTTGTTTTATTGCCTCTAAGCCTGCAAATCTGCAAATTCATGAAGCATCACTTGGAACTCGCCTGGTTTAGAATGGGTGATTCAGGTGCTGTGTGCCTCGCTCCCACATCCTGGCCCAGGCACACTGTTTCAATCTGTCAGGATCACAGAACCCTTTAGGTTGGAAACGACCTCTAAAATCATCAAGTTCATCCGTTAACCTAGTACTGCTAATACCACCACTGAACCATGTCTACACATCTCTTAAATCTCTCCAGGGATGGTGACTCGACCACCTCCCTGGGCAGCCTGTTCCCGTGGCTGACAGCCCTTTTGGTGAAGGAAACAGAAAAGGAGCTGCGCAGAGGTTCCTCGTAAACTTCCCGGTGGGGCCAGGTCGTCAAAATGTGTGTGGCAGCCTCCTTGGCAGACGTGCGTGAGGTGGGTGGCCTGGTGTCACTTCCTGTGATGACGATTCACGTACCTGCAACCGCTTGGAGGCCTCACGCCTTCATCTGGGCAGAGAGTTGTTCGCAGGCCAGTTTTGCGTGCACCGGCTGCTGGCCTGCTGGGTTGGCGTGCTCTCTGCTACTCACGAGCTGGTGTGCTTGGTGTGAGGTGGCTAACTGGGCAGGGCAGCAGCACCATCCTCCTTAGCGGTGGTCCCACTTGGGCACGTGGACTGTTTGAACATGGTCACGCTGTGGTGTATGAGGAGGGGAAGGGTTGCAGCTGAAGGCGCAGGATCAGGTCACGCACCGTGCTGCTGAAAATGGAAAAACAGCAGAGTTCCAGGCTGGGAGGGGCTGCTGCATTGTGGTCAAGCATACCTAGATCTAGGGACTTGGGAAAATACTGCCACAGTATCACTTTTACAAACTAGCCAAGTTATAAAGGGACATGGCCAAGTTACAGCTTTAAAGATCTCCAGTAGGAAACAGAATGAACTGCTGTGCCTGAGAGAATAAGGGGGACATTCCATAGAATCACAGAATGGTTTGTGTTGGAAGGGACCTTAAAGACCATCTAGTTCCAACCCCCCTGCCATGGGCAGGGACACCTTCCACTAGATCAGGTTGCTCAAAGCCTCATCCAGCCTGGCCTTGAACACTTCCAGGGATGGGGCATCCACAGCTTCTCTGGGCAACCGGTTCCAGTGCCTCACCACCCTCTCCGGGAAGAACTTCTTCCTGATATCTAATCTAAACCTCCCCACTTTCAATTTAACCCCATTACCCCTTGTCCTGTCACTACAGGCCCTGGTAAAAAGTCCCCCCCAGCTTCCTTGTAGCCCCTTCAGGTACTGGAAGGGGCAATAAGGTCTCCCCGGAGCCTTCTCTTCTCCAGGCTGAACAAGCCCAACTCCGCCTTTCATCATAGAACATTTTTGTCAATGTTCTTTGCTACAGGTGAGGTATTAGCAAGATTGTTCCCCTGAAGGTGAGACCCTCCCGCTGCCACCACACGAAGAAGTTTAGAAAAACCCAGCGTGATGTGACCCCTGTTGATCAAAACCACCGCCTGAGATTTGCGCATAGGTGGCACAGTAAAACCAACCTCCTCCTGCAGCCGCTGCCTTCGCACCGTGTGGTCGCTTCCAGTCGAGCTCTGCTATTTGCCTAGTCGCAGGAATACCTGTGTTAAATGTTTAACCAGCTGGCGGAACAGCTCCCAGAGCTCAGTCAGGCCGAGCGTTAAAAGCGTGTAACGCCGCTCACGACAGCATGGTTCTGCGCTCAGTCTTTCAGCTCTAAAATGAACCCATTGCCATAGCCCTGCACTGAAATGCTCCGCGGGCCGTGCGTGCCTGTGTCTCTTCTCCCTGTATTTCCTCTTAACCTGGAGGAAAGGTGTAAAAACCCACCTTACTGGCTTTTGGCCCCGGGGGTTGTGGTGGACACCAGGCTGAACGTGAGACAAGCCCCATGCCCTTGCCACGGGTAAGGTTAACGGTGCGCTGGGCTGCCTCTGGAGGCGTTACGCACGGATGGAAGGGGCTGATCCTTCCCCTCCGCCGGCGAGGCCTTGCCTGCAGCGCCGTGTCTGCTCTCTGGTACAGGAGAGACCGGTGTGCGAGAGTCCCGTGAAGGGACGGGAGCGTCTCTCCTGCGAGGAAAGGCTGAGAGCTGGGACTGTTCAGCCTGGGGAAGAGAAGGCTCCGGGGGATGTCGTCAGTGTCCCTACGTACCTGAAGGGAGGGTGGAAAGAGGAGGGAGCAGGCTCTTGATCCTGGGCACCAGTGAAGGGAGTGGAGGCCACAGGCACAAGCTGGAACATGGGAGGTTCCCTCTGAGGATCAGGAAACCCCTTTTGTTACTGAGGGTGATGGAGCGCTGGGACAGGTTGCCCAGAGCGGCCATGGAACCTCTATCCTTGGAGATATTCAAAGCCACCTGGACATGGTCCTGGACAACCGTCTCCAGCTAGCCCTGCTTGGGCAGGGACGGACCGCGCTGTGGCTGAGGATAGAGCCTCTGGAGTACAGCACCACCAGCCAGATCCCTGCTTTGTGCCACCTCAGGCTACTGCCACCTCAGGCTACTGCCACCTCAGAGCAGGGGGAGGGCCGTGACACTCTTAACAGCCACACAGGGAAAGGGAACTGATCCTTCGGCCTGTCAAAGGCTGTTTCCTGCAGAAGAACGGGCGGGAGAGCAAGCGGTGACAGGGAATGGGTGTAAGTGGCTCCACACCTGACCACGACTGTAGCCACAGCAGACACCTTAACTGAAAGAATGAAAAAACCCACAAAACCTTGTGTTGAGAAATCCACCTACCAGCAAATTCAGTGCACACGGTTGGTCTGTCACTGAAATTTCAGTTAAAGCCAATAAAACGTGCTCCTGAGGAAATAAATATTCCCCTCTTAGGCAGCCTATGACCAGGGTAGCTGTCCTATTAAAAAAGTGCTAATGCAGCCAACTGCACGTGGCCTGCCTGTGTGCTTCCCAGTCCGCTGCTGCCTGCTGCAGGGAACAGGCTACGGAAAGATCTTACACAGTTCAAACACATTCATCTCTCTGAGCAAAAGACTTCTAGGAACAAGAGATAAAACCGTGACTTATTACACTGTAAAAAAAACAATATTCAGAACAAGCAAGTGCAGAATATAGTACATAATTTATTTTTTCTGTACATTACATATTTATTTGTTAAATTTCATCGACAAACGCAAAGACTTCCCCAATTTTTCCTTTACCTGCCTAAGCCAAGCCATTAATTTTGCTCTACAGGACAGAAGAAAACAAGCTCCCTGGAGAATTTATCATCTGATTAACTTGGCAGAAGGTGCTTCGGCTCAGACTTTCAGTGTTTCCCAGAGCTTGTAAGATGTGTCAGGTTAGAACCTCCGTTGGTAGCACAACATCCTGCCGCTGTACCGGTCTAGAAACGAGCAACTCCCTTCTCATTCCATTCCCATGACGTCTTCTTCTCGGAAGATGCATTAATGCAGTTGCATTGGTGGACGTACCCAACACTAAGCAAAGGCTGTAGCTACCACCCAAAAAGTTGCTTTCCAGCAGCCGCAGATCTGTCTCGAGTTACGCAGGATGTGCTGAGATAGGTTATATGTATCATAAAGTCCTTAAGAAAAATAAATATTTGTGCATAATGTATGTACAGAGGCTGGTTGATTTCCTTCTTCACTCGTGGGTTCGACGACAGATACAACCACCACTGGTTTATCCACCAGCTCACCACGATTAATGCCACCTCGGTAACTGGCGTGTTAAGAGCCCAAGAGAACATTGGCCTGTTGTTTGCAAGAGTGCAAATTACATGGAGGTGTTTTGAAAACGGCGGCTTAAAGAAAGAAGGGTTAACAAAAACCCTTCCTTTGGTCCCTGTCAGAGCCGTTTTTACTCTTCCGTGAAGTTTTCCAAACCCCCCCACATAATTCTGACCAACTATTAAGGCGTCGAAAGAATGGATTTAAAAACTGCGATTAAAATGGTCTTTCTTGGACTTGAAAAGAAGTCCACTGCAGATTTCCTGACCAAGAAATCTTCTTGATGTGCCTCCTTCTCCTCAGCTCTTTTTCGCACCACAACTACAAACAACCTCGTCTGATAAACCCCCTCACATCATCTTTTTTTTTTTTTTTAACTACAACAAAACATCACACTTAAATATATTGCACAGAAAGCATAACGTATCCAGCCGGACTCTTCACGAAAATGGCCACGAACACGGGAGAACAGCTACTGAACATCTCAGAATTTGAAGAGATCGATGAAATGCTGAGGAGATACGGGCATCAGACAGGTGTTTGGATCACTGGCCGTGCAGGGGTGTCCTGTATCCTGCAAAGTGAAGGAGGAGGAAAATAAGTTCTTTTCCCATATCCACAATCTCCCTCCACCCCCAATTAGGAAAAAAAAAAAACCAAACCAAACACCAAACCAAAATTCACATATAGGCACATGCAACTACTTCCACTGTGAACAAACTGATAGGAACTTGATCTTTTTAAAGAAAAAAAAATGAAAATAAAAGAAATCTTAACTGGTTTAGACAAATTTGCCAAGAAAACAGACATTTCCAGTTTGGCTGTGGTAGAGCAGGATAGCTTCAGATTTCAGAAAAAACCCACAACCCTCTCCTACTGGAACCTGAGTCTGGTTCTGAGAATGCTGGGAAAAAAGTTTCATATCCCTTATCAGTTTTTACTAAGTATAATTTAAAAAAAAAAAATCTGCTTTGTTGAACCTTATTTATCTGTTTAATGAAAATCTCTCACCCTTTCCTCATAAGGGAGGTGCTCCATTGCCTCAATCACCTTCATAGCCTCCACCGGACTCTCTGCAGATCCCTGTCCTTCTCCAACTGGGGAGGTCCCAGAAATTCAATGGAGAGGTTAAATTCCTTGATCAATAATGTTATAAAGGTCAGAAACTGTTCTCCCCAGGTTTAAGTGCTTTCTCTCTTTTCCACTCTCTGGGACAGAGTTCATTTTCTTCACAGTATCTGGTATGGGGCTGTGTTTTGGATTTGGGCTGGAAACAGTGCTGATAACAGAGGGATGTTTTTGTTATTGCTGAGCCGTGCTTACACACAGTCAGGGCCTTTTCTGCTCCTCACCCCACCCCACAAGTGTGTAGGCTGGGGGTGCACAAGAACCTGGGAGGGGACACAGCCGGGACAGCTGACCCCAACTGACCAAAGGGATATCCCAGACCATATGATATCACGCTCAGCATATAAAGCTGGGGAAAAAGAAGGAAGGGCAGACATTCAGGGTGATGGCATTTTGTCTTCCCAAGTAATTGTTACATGTGATGGAGCCCTGCTTTCCTGGAGGTGGCTGAACTCCTGCCTGCCGATGGGAAGCAGTGAATGAATTCCTGGTTTTGCTTTGCTTGTGTGTGCGGCTTTCGCTTGACTCATTCAACTGTCTTTATCCCAACCCATGAGTTTTCTCACTTTTCCCTTCTGATTCTCTCCCCATCCCACCGTGGGGGCTGAGTGAGCAGCTGAGTGGTACCTAGTTGTGCTGGGGTTCCATCAGGCACTTGGAAACTTGCGGAAGGGAAGTGCTGTCAAAGATGCCCCATTCTTGCAACACCAAAGCACACTAGGCAAAACACATTCTAAATATTACTGAGCTTTTCCAAGGAAAATTGTTACTCTATAGATTTATTACCTGTGTTTTTCCGTTAAGGCTATAGGTGGTTACATGAATATCATGTGCTATCACCTCCCCATCCTCCCACTGTTTTTAACATCACCAGAGAACCAGTTGTGACAGCCCTGACACACAGCAGGGGAAAAGGAACAGGAATGACAACAGACAAACAGATTTGACCCCAGGCAGAACCGCCCGCTGGGGAAGCTGCAGATGGGAAAGAACAGAATGAGACCAGAAGTCTCTACCTAACACCTTCCTCCTGAGATCACATTTGCAAGGAAGAGACACACCACAGCAGAAAACACTCTCAAAGGGAGCTGCTAGTAACTACCATTTTCTCTACCTACTGCCATGTCGACATCATGTCATTACTTTCCTAGTTTCCAGGAAAAAATACACCATCAGAATTAGAACTTTGTGAAAGAAGCCAGGGTTTATCCCCTTTTACTTTTTATTTATACTCTACAATATTTTAGCATGTTACAGATTCTATCTGCTCTGCTCCCCACATCACCTTAAAACCACTTTTGAAAGCTCTGCTCAGCCATGAGTTACAGGTTTAGTAAAAATCTCCATAACATCAGTTCTTGGGGTCTTTAATTATGAAAAAGATCATAAACAGCAAATTTACAGGGGGAAAAAAAAAAGTGATGAGGATTGAAAAGAAGAATCATAAATTTCCTGTAATTAAAAGTATTCCTCCTTTGAAGAAAAATGTATTCCCCTTGAAATTACATTTAATAAACAGTGTTCAAATCATATTGATTTTCAATGTATCTACTTAAATTTAAAAGAATTCTGGTTTAGCTTAACAAGAGAATTCACCAGGAGGACAGTTCACTGAAAAATATAATTGTTTCCTTCCTCAAATTTTATCCTAACTGGAAATTAAGAAGCTCCCATAATAACTTTGGAGCAACTGTCCATTTCTGTGTAATTATTTCCACCATTTCTTCATTTAGGAAACAACATTATAATTGCCTCCCCCCGCTCTCCCGAGACATCTAAGTGCCTGTTTGGGGAATTTCTTTTCAGAGAGACTCTTCCATAAAAGTACGTGTGACTACAGCATTCCAAGTGGCGTAAAATCAATTTTAGTATTACCCGAGGTTCATGTTCCTGTTTTCAGATTTAAGTACTGAACTAACTACGTCAGGGAGTGCAGAAATAGTTTCTAACACAGAGTGAGGAGAAACCTTTTTCTTAGTGAATCTCGCTGATCTGACAACATGCAACTATGTTCATTAGGAGCTGAATTAGGGTCCCTAGTTTAAATGGCATTAAACGGGGAGTACGGCAATAATAAACCCCAAATCCGATTGAAAAATCGAGAAGGAAGGTCACCTTATCTAATAAAGAAACA